GGCCGGGGTGTCTAACTGTGTGATAATGAACCGAAAGAAATGGAGGGAAGGAGCGCAACGAACTGGCGCAGACTTTGTGGCGGTGGATAGGCCAGGGAATAACAGTGAATCAGGTGAAAGTAAACGACTAGGAAGCAGCTGTGAATGTGGCTGGTGCCTTTCACCTTTTTGCTTTCTAGTATTCTTGTTCAATATAGTTGTATATGACAAGTTTAGTGGCAGCCTAACTAGGTGAGGTGACACGGTGTGGTCATCCATGTGACAACTAACCTTGAACAACTGCCTGACCTTTGACACTGCCGGCGGGGATGGTGCGCGGGGTCTGGCAGTTTGTAGACCGGTAACTGTCACATTGAAGGTGACCTCTGACGCTCCAACATCCACAGCAGACTTTCAAGGTAAAAACTCTTTAAATATGGCGGCCATCATTGCCGATCACTCCTTCTGGAGGTGGTACCCTGGCTCTTATTCTGATCCATTGGCTTCAGATCCTTCTGAGTCACTGACTCGAAAAAAGTATGCAGATCAGGAGCGCTGGCTTTGCTGGTTGCATCCATTGTCTTTGTTAAGGGATGATGAATCCTGGAGACTAGCTCAACTCTGGGCTCCGCCCACAAGTGCCTCCTTTACCTTGGAGGTCCCTCCAGTATGTATGCTATGATGTTTTGTAGTCTTCAGGCCAGTCATGGAATGTCGCATTCCTCTCCCACCCTTCTCCAGTGGCGGGCAATCCTTGGTGATGCAGAAAGCAGCGCTGACGTGATGACTATACACTATGGTGACAGGTCGCCATGGTGACACCCCCTGACCAGACCCATGCCGCCCTGTATCGACTATGTCCCCAGTGGGTGTCATTTATCCCAGAAGACTGAGGACATCTTGTGCATTTTTTTTTGTAAGAAAATTGGCCCAGACTTGGGTAATCCGGCGCTGTCCCCACAATACTCCTTTTCCACCACAAGATGTCCTCAGTCTTCCAGGTTCAATGACTCCCAATGTCCCGCAACCCGAAAGACTGAGGACATCTCGTGATGGGCATGTGTTGTATTATCTGTAGCTGACCTTCTAATTTTGTTATGTATACCCGTGCTTAATTACGCCCGATCTCCTATACCACGTACACACCAGACCAGAGTGATCATAATCTTTTATGTGGTATTTGTAGCCCTGATGAAGGTGGACCCGTTGAACCCCTCAAAACGCATTGGCTTTTATGACATAGGAAACTAAAACAAATGAGTATACATTTTCAGATCATGCCACTTCCCTCTTTGCACACCCATGTTTTGTAAACGGTCAGCCATATTGCTATGCGAGTCATGCCTGGAATCTGGTGCCTGTGATTAGGGTTGCCACCTGTCCAGGATTGACCCGGACACTCCGGGTTTTGAATGCTGTGTCCGGGTTTCATGGCAGCAGAAACCGGGACACAGGATGTCAGGCAGACAGGGGGCAACCAAAATTAAGATGGCGGCTACTGGCGCCCCACTGAAAATAGATTTGACTGTGATATTTACATATGACTGGGTGGGGCTATTTACATGTGACTAAGCCTTGACTTATTCTCCCAAAAAAATGTCCGCCCATTGCTAGAGTGTTTGGGTTTTGCTTGAAGAATAGGGGGGAACCCTACCTGTGATCACTTACTGCCTCAGGGGCTCTAGCCCTCCTATAACCTTTCCGGGCTTCACCGGTCTTCATTGCCCAAGCCTATCCTCATGTGACATGCACACAGCAAGTCCTCCATTCCTCCTCACTTCCCCTGCCATAGAAATGTTAAACAAATGTGTTTCTTATAGCAAAGCACCCATTGCCTATATCTACTTGTACAAGAAAAGGAGAGCAATATGCCATCTGCTGTAGTCAATGCAAGAAAAGTCCAGTTATAGTACATCTAATAATGGCTGATTGTATACTATGGATTATAGAAAGCTGAGCCCAGGACATTCTAGACCTGCCACAGCCTGGGATTGGACAGTGAAAGGAGAAGCAGCACAATGACAAGTTCATCTCTCTATTTCACTGCTTGTCAGAACTGATTGGCTCCTTGTGCTGCTTCTTCCTTTTACACGACAGCCCTGCTGTACATGCCCTTGCCCTTGTGTCATTGCGCTGCTTAGACAATACTTTACAGTTTATTTCACATAAACGTATTAATTTCAAGTTCTCCTGTGTCATCCCAGACGGAAGACCCCAAAAGTCAACTGGTTCATATCCGATAAGGTCCCAGAAAAGACTTTAATGTGCACTGTGGGATGCCAACGCTCTCTCTAGGGCAGGGGTGGGCAACTGCGGCCCTCCAGCTGTGCTTTAACTGCAACCCCAACATGGCTCTGCCTCTGGGAGTCATGCCTGTAACGATCAGTCTTGCAATGCTTCATGGGACCTGTAGTTCCACCTCAGCTAGAGGGCCGGAGTTACTAACCCTGCTCTAAGATAAGCTCTCCTCAGCCCTAGAATGGAAACATGGTGACAATGACATGTGTTCAGAGGCGTCCCGAGGCCGGGTGTCACCCGGACCGAAGACAGGGTGACACCCCACAGTGACATCAGCACGCATGCGGGGGACATCACCACGCGCATGCGCGTGAAAAAATAAGCTGCAGCTTCCCCGCTGTACATTTAGCTTTGCTTGCCCAAAGCAGGGCTAAATGTAGATAACAACTACCCACCCGGCGCCCGGAACTGCTTGTCCCGGGCATCGGGAGATAGGAATTCCACACCCCTGCTGCCCCAAAGCCGGGCCTTAGTTGGCCTTGTGGGAAATCCGGCCCTGACAGCTTGCATTTAAAAAAAAAAATATTTAATGATGTATTATTGAATACAGAGCTGTGTCTTTTATGTCTGCCTGGAGTTCAACTTTAACCCTTCCCTGCTCTGTACAAAACATAAAATAAAAGTCTTTCCTGGAGTTGGACTTGTATGATGTCTATATTTCATTTGCAGAGCGAAAGAACATGGAAGTCACCATGAGTGATGCCAGACATACCCTGAAGACCCTGGAGCAGCGCAGCAAGCTCCTGCTCCAGCAACAGATCACTTTCATTAATGCTCTGGAGAGGACACGGGAAATTGCCCAAGATAGGATCAGACCAGTGAGGACCCTGGGCCAGGTAATGAAAGACTCAAAGTGCACAAGGAAACAGGTTATGGGAAGGGGGCATAGACATTTTTATTCTGGTGCCAAAAAATAATAATCACGGCCATCTCTACCCTATGTGCCAACTACGGTCATAGAGGAGGGGGGGCTGCTGCTGATAGTGCTTCTCATGGGGGGGGCTTTG